CACACACACACACACACACACACACACACACACACACACACACACACACACACACACACACTGTTCCAATTTGCGCTTGTTTTCAGAGAAAAGTGAGACATCTTTATACCACAGCAGGTAAAAAGCATCAAAGCTATCTGCACACACACAGAGCATGTCCAGTAAGTTTCATGACATCATCCCAAACAGGATAGCACGCGAGGGGTGAAATTACTGCGTTTTCTGTTGGCAACCTCCGCTCCTTTTTCTTTTGCTTTATTGTCTGGCCCCCATTCTTATCTCCATCTCATTTTTCTGCCTTCTCCATTCCTCTTTTCTCTCTCTCTTTTTTCTCTCTCCGCAACCCCCCGTTTCGCCGGGCTCTTATCTTTTAAGGGAGCTTTTTAGAACAACTCCCACACAATTACTCTGATCTGTCTTTACAAAAGCAAGGAAGCAAAACACATTGCGCGCACACATACAGGCACGCTGTTCGCAATTTGCCTCATGCATGTAATGAGGGCCTGAGCCCTCAAACATAATAGTTTTTATCGTGCATACACACGAGCCTACAAACACCCACACGGCGGACGCATTTCTCCTCCACAGAAACTTGCATAAGCACCGACACCATCTCATATTCAGAGGAGAGGAGAGGCGAGGCAGTGCTATCAGCCTCAAAGGCTGTCAACATGTTTTTCCAGGAGACCTTTTATTTGCTCCGCAGTCTTGTTTTTCTGCAGTGATTTATTGGATGGGAATGAGGTGGCGCATTTTCAAAAACCCCAGGCCGCAGTTTCGGAGCAAACCAAGGGGCAGCCGGAGCTGTCAGAATGTGGCACAGCAGCTCTTCTCTTTTTCATCATCCTCCCATTGATCTTGGGGCTTTGCTTCAGCCTCAGATGTGATGGTAAAGTTAAGCATGTGGGGTTTTCTCTACCCCCCCCCCGCCCCTTTCAATTTTATTTTATTTTTATTTTTATTAAGTTTGTGTCCGGCTGGAAAAATCTAACATCCAGGTTTAGTCGTGACGAATGATTGACGACTCTGTAAAGTTTTTTCTTCCTCCAAGCTTTCAGAGGTTAATGTAGCCATGAGCCAATATGGCCGAACTCTAAAATGCACGAGGCTGTTACTTTGACAACATTGCCGATCTCTGTGTGCGTGAGCTGTGAGGGTGTCAAAGAGCGGGGAAAATCTATTTGAAGCATGAACTGCTGAAAATGCCCGGTTGAACTAAGTTAACAAAGGCAAAATGACCAAATTTAAGTCCGGCAAGAGCACACATTTAGCCAGTTGGCTGCCTCTTTTATATCTCCCTGGTATGAGTTATAGGATAGGCAAAGTAATTACAAGGACATTTGTGGAGTTCCTGGCATTGGGTAATCAGCCAAAAATACACAATGCGGAAAGAGAGGTACTTTGGTACTTCTGAGAAGAGAATTTGAATCCTTTTTTTAATTCCTCACACAACCTGCCAGGAGCCTTCATTTATTACAGACATTGAATGAAAACTCTCTGTCTGTGTATGTGTGTGTACACACACACACAGATATACAGATTACAACTTTAGAACCTGCAATCCAGCAAAGTTTTGCAGACAGCGCCATTCGCATTCACTGTTTTCTTCTTTCCAACAGTTGAATTACATCTCACATGCTGTCGATTACAGTCCCTTGAAAAAAAGGATTTCAGTCAGCCAAGAAAATAGTAATCTGTGAAAGTCTATCTTTTTTCCTGCTGTTTCTTTCAGCCTGCGTGTCAAAATGATCTGTGACGTTAGAAGGGCTGAGATCATTCCGTACACGACAAAGCGTGACCAAATTCGCTGCATTAGAGATGTTTTAGCCCTACAACATCAACACCCAAACTGTGAATTTTACTGAACTCGAATGAACAGAACTCACTCGCACACTTTTCATGTAGTTCTCGTTCAAGCGACTGACAGGCGCACTTCTTTTGTCCAGATTGTTGTGCATTGGAGGCCATCTCTCGAGTTGATTAAACTTCTGAATACTGATATCTGGTTCTTAATATTACACCTTTCTGTTTAAGGGAAACCATTCGCTCTACACCTGCAGTCAGTCGCTCCATTGGGTCACTCCGGGCTAAAGCGGGCAGCAACTCACTCAGGAGTTATCATTCATAATTACACTGGTAATACGTGTATTACATAGGGTGAAATAGAGATAAACCGGGGATTTCTGTGCTGCAGAGAAAACAAAACCAAAAAAACTGCTATTGTATGGATATTAGTTGGAGCAGTATTGTTTTTAGGTTTGTTTTTTTAAATGAGTCGGCGTCTGTGCTCAGCAGTGAGCTGAATGAGAGAGCAGTTTTTGTTGAAAGAGCTGCACAATGAGGGTTTGCCCATCACTGTGTGTGTATGTGTGTGTGTCTGACTCTGTATGCAACCTATTCGTTTCAGTTTGTGTTCACTTGCGTTCGTATTCTGTTTCTTTCTGCCTTTTCGTGTGTTTTTCTGTATGGATAAGTGTGTGTATGTCTGTAAGTGCGTCACACACAACCACACACCCGTTTCTTGTGAACTGACTGAGTGTGGTTAAAATAATTTATTGTTGAGTTAGTAGTGTTTCCTCCTAAAAAGAACATTGGATACTTTGTGTCTCAGTTGGAGGCCAGTCCTTGCCTAGCACGTGGACAGATAGTAGCAGAAATCTTGGAAAGCTGTTCATATCATAATCATCCACATTCATCTTTACACAAGAAAGTGCAATTTGTTGGGTATTTTCCCCCCTTTGGATCCTTGTGTGGGAGGTGTTTGAAGTGGGGTTTATTTAGAATATCTGATTGTACTAACTTGTATGTAATGACATTGAAGTGCTGTAATGTGTTTCTCATTTTTATTACTTACGAGGCTCTCAAAGGGACATTCAGCCCTGGACATTTGTTGTCAAAATGCATTTGCCCTCCAAACATCTTGGTAAGGGTGTGGCAAATTTTTGTTTTTCTTTCTTTCTTTAAAACCTTAGAGTAAAAATGGCTTTGTTCCAAATAAGTCTCATAGTCCTTTTATGGGGAATATCTCTTGCACAGCAGTAATCATGCCCTTGGCAGCCAGTGGTTTACTAGCCAACAGATTGACAGAACAACTGTATCATCTTTCTTCAAGAGAGTTAACTGAAATGTTTACTGTAGTGTATAACAGTAAGCAATCATTTGTGTTGACTTAAATAGGTAAATCACTCATTTCAGTGACTTTTACTATTCAGCGTCTGGCAATTGAAAAGCACAACGGAAGGTATAGTTTTAAGAGGGAATCCCCATCAAGCACACCCTCTAATACACTCCTTAGACCATTCCAATGTTAAATTTTGAAAAGTAAGGGTTAGTAATAATAGGGATACATTACCATATTTGTATAGACATCATGGACGGTTGGCACTGTTCTTTTTTGATGTGGACAAAAGTCTCAAGTTCAATTTAGAAGGGGCTGAAAGGGCTTTAGATCACCTATGAAGCCTTTTGATGCCAGCTCTCAGAGAAGCACAGAGTGAAGTAGACTGCACATTATAGACTGTGGCTCACTCCGTTTTGGGAGTACCTTAACAACCGACACTTATCTCATTTCAGTCGCTTATTGACAGCTCCCAGATGTTGAAAGCCGCGCTATTTCGATGCACGAGGATTCAGACAAGACGCATAATTCACATTTGCGACCATGCTCTCGAACTCCAGAAGCAGCGCGGGCAGAGGGAGAATTGTAGGCTACAAAACACGAGAAATGTCTCCCCTCTGCTCTCACTTGCATTTTTTTTTCTAATCACTCTTTCTCTGTCTTTCTCCCTGTAGCCGTCTGCCTCTCTTGTCGTGCCTATTTGGCTCCCAGCTAACTGGGTGGAAAATATGAATGGAAGCATTTCCCCGTCTTGTTTTTTCCCAAACTCTGCTCCAGGCAAAAACACACAACCCATCCCTCTCATTCCCTTTCTTCTATCTCTCCCTTACCACAGACTACACATCTTTCCCTCTTTTTTTATTTAATCTTTTCATCTTTTTTTTTTTACAAGCTTTGTGTCTTTTGTGCAACATTCTTTGCACATTTCTGAGGACAGAGCTAAGGGAAGGTGTTTGGAGGAAGGGGGTGTCATTTTTGTGTTTCTTTCTTTCTTTTACTGTTTGTGTTGGAGCAGTGGGAGTTTGGAGAGAGGGGAGGAAAGGCAAACAGGGCGACACACCAAGAGGAATGTGTGTCTTTCTGTGGGTGTGTGTACCGTCGTGTGTTAGTGTTCGTATCTATTTAGGAGTGCTTGCAGTCACATGTTTGAATGTGCAAGTGTGTATGTGCCTTTGAGCTTCTGTTTAGGCACTCTCCTGTGTCTGAGAGCAAATACGGTCCTCATTGTGTATGTGTGTGTGTGTGTGTGCGCGCTCGCAAGAGTCTGCAGTGGCGTTAATAAGTCTGAATCATATCCATGACAACAGGCAGACCGTACTGGCATCTGAACCGCAGAGCAAAAAAAAAAAAAAAAGCAGCTCACTGTAAAACACATTGCGACACTGGCTTCCTGTGTACAAACAGTCCCTGGAAACAGCCCCTCACCCCCCCATGAGTTCAGAGATAAACCGAAAAGTCAACTTTTATTGTTCCAAAAACTGCAGTCCCCAGTGAATTAAGTTCACAGATTCTGCCCAGTCCCAAACTTTATTGTCCTTGTTGCTCTAGTTATATCTTTTCATATCACCCCCCCACCCACCTCTAATCTTCGACACAGCATGCAGCTGTTGCCGGTTACTTTAAAAAATGCCTCCGTACATTCTTTCTTCAGCACATTGCAGCAGGCAGACACAGTTGGTGGCTAACTGGTAGTGGGTAAAGTCAGCCACGAAAAAATAGTGCCAGACAGAAAGTGTGTTCAAAACCATTTTCAGCTTATCGGGGCTATCACTTGTTAATCAGCAGACTTCGGATCTTTAGAACACAAAAATAGTGGTGGCCGCTTCTCTAAGGGTTTTCTTTGCACTGTAGATTATCCCAAAAAGACAATACCGAAAAGCAGGATTTAAAATTTGAATAACTAAAACACCTGAAAATTTTTATTTCATGTTGTAATAAGGTGCTGACAGTCTTGAATCAACTCACTCTCAAAGTGGGAAAATAGTGGCTGCTTCCAGAGAAACTGAGGTATGTTGAGGTATCGTTTGGATAAGATGGACCTAAAAATCGATGCCAAATCTGCAGTTTTGGGATGTTTGAGAGGTCCAGTGGTCACAATTGTCCCCACAAGGCTTTCAGCCATAATGGAAGAAAACGGCTGGATGGATGGACGGTTAACACCACTGGTGGAAATTGAGCTCTGGTCTGGAAGATACAGAAAGTACTCAGAAAGCTGTGAGGAAGGAAGATCTCTCAGGCAACGCTGTCGACGGGGGATTGAGTCAATTGCAACCTTTTTGGCTTCTTCAGTGTAACTATTCTCTTGTGAATTGAGCTATAAACACAGCTACAATTGGGTTGATCTGGATTCAATTGCATTGCAACGAATGATACTCCCGTTGGATTTCTTTAAACATTTAACAGACTTCTTCATCTCAGGTGAGAGAGCCTTGAGATGCCATATGTTTTTCAATGTATAAAATCCTCAGGATTATGAAGCGGGCTCTGGAGTGGTGACACGCTCTTTTAATAGCACATGCATGATGTTCATGTACAAAATTTTAGCTTTAGACATTTGCACAAACGATGCCAAAACTAATTTGAAGAAAATAGGTCGCAGAGTATTGAGATTGTTGTTGGCACTGTGCTGGTCTCGTTTCAGTTTTTGTGACCAGAGGAAACATTTGACTGTGAGGAAGCCACACCACGTCTCCCATTCATGAATATGAGAATGAAAGCGGAAGTCATCTACAGGGGGGCAACCTCAATGTCTGCAGGCTTTGCCATGGTCCACATGCCCCCCGACCTAAACATAGTAAAATAGAAGAATATGAAAAGAAAGCCCATGAAACTCAAAGAGCTCATGCTGAACTCTGCACAGGAAGAAGCTAACAGAGCCACAGCTGGATATAAAAGCTTTACATGCCGTTGTGTTCTATATGCACAAGGTATAGTAGCTATAATACACAAAGTAATTTTTTTGACAGATACCCAAACCTTTGCCTATAAATCTAATCTTAATCTTTTACATTGGTCGGAAATGTTATATATTTCCTTGTGACGCAACAGTGTTTTTAAAGTTCAGGAGCTTTGGAGGGAAGAATACCAGTTGAATGCAACAAGCCACAAAAATAGACTCCAAAGAAGCTGAATTTGACATTTGTGAGCTCCTACTTGAAGTGGTGATTTGCTTTTTTTTCTTTTCTCGTTCTCACTTGTTGCATCCATTGTTATGGCTTTTCTATGCGCCTCTCAGAATCAGAATCCTTTGTCAGTCACAGCATTTCTTGGTGTTCATAGTTCCTTCCTTCTTCATCTGAGCATTTTCTCTCTCTTTTTAAAAAAAAATCGGCACATGTATTTTCTGCTCCAAGAAAAGAAGCACTCCTCTGTATTTCAGCTATCAGTATTTATAGCCCGTTCAGCCATCTTTTTGCGGCAGATTATTTTGTTAACCAAAGGGAGGATTAATTCCTCCTTCAATGGGATCATTTGATTTGATCTGATAATGGATGCATCTTAAAGTTTGAAAGAGAATAGAGTTAGAAACTGATGCAAAAGGCATGCATTCAGATAGTCATGCTATGAAGATAAGGCTAATTATTGTTATGTAAGGGAGAAGACGGGCTCATCTGATTTGTGTTTGTGTCCCTGTGTGTATTATACACTAGCTGGTTGCTGTGAAAGCAGCACAGGGGTGAGTCATCTCTAAAAGGTCACTGTGTACATGATGTTTTGGGGATTGGGGCAGTGATTGATTTTCACTGACATGAATATGACATGAAGGTGACTCACTGCTCCCAAGCACAACTGCAACCATTTCTGTGTGTGTGTATTGCAGATGCCCTTACATTATTTATTTCACATAAATACGACAGAGATGACTCTCTATGCTAATTGCGGCCTGTGTCTGTGTGTTGTTTTCCCGTATGAATATGACATGAAGATGACTCACTTCTCCAAAGCAGCACTGCATTCTCCGAGGAGGGCGTCTGTTTGCGTCTTTGTGAGTCCCGCTACATGTGTCAGGCTCTGTCCGTCTACTTTCTCCCATTCGGTCTTTGAGTCAGTACCACCACAGAGGACAGGCTGCCACTTCCACTTCCAGGAAGTTGGACGACAAAAAGTATTTTGACTCCCCGACAGCCGAACAAATCTCCCGGCCACGAGCAGCCCACAAATCCATGCAGGTGAAGCCTAAAACGGCAGTAGTCGGGATTGTTGTAGCTCCTAGCCTACAGAAACTGAGACTCAGAAAGTGAGTCTAGGAGCTAATGAGAGTGAAATGTGTTGGTGACAGCCAACACTGAAGTTCTGACGTTCAGGGGCTGCTTGGTGTGCCACGAGATGGAGATATTTTTGCCAAAAATATCTACGAACAGAGGGTAGTGCTGTAAGAGTTGTCCTCCTTTTTTCTCGGGAGGTTTGCTGCGCACCTCGTCACTTTCTCTCCACTAGAGACAGAAAATGCAGAGTGCATGAGTGGAGGTTAAGAGCATATGAAATGTTTCCAATGGACGTCAAGCACTGCCCGCATTTGGGTTTGAAAAGAAGCCATTGTTGTCTGTGTAGCGTGCATCCTCTGCTGCTAAGGCACGAAATGATCGGTTATGGGTTAAGGATGCCGCGCCGTGCTAACTTTGTCGATCTGTGAGATCAAATGGACACAGACAAGGGGAAGAAGCTCACAGGACATTCATTCAAGTTTTAATTACTCTGTTTATGTTGTGGTGTATAGGAACGTTTTGTCGTAGATTGGATTGTTCCAAGAAGACAATAAAAGGAAAGAAAAAAGTCACAGTTTCATATTTTGAGAAACTGTGAACCAACC